GAGCATATTATAGACAACATTTTATCAAGTTTACCACTAAGGGATGCTGTGAGGACAAGTATCTTGTCAAGTAAGTGGAGATTTAAATGGGTTACACTTCCACATCTTGTATTCGAAAATCAGTCTGTCCTGATTTCTGCCCAAGATCAAACCATCATAAAGAACAAACTTGTGAGCGTTATTGACCACGTGCTGTTACTTCATACGGGCCCCATATATAGGTTTAAGCTTTCTCATCGCGATCTTCAAGGTGTCAGTGATGTTGATAGATGGATTCTTTTCTTATCAAGGGGCTTTGTTAAGGAATTTATACTTGAAATATGGAAAGGACATCGTTACAAGCTCCCTTCTTCTATGTACTCCTTTCAAAAGTTGATCCATCTGGAACTTTTTAATTGTCTTTTAAAACCTCCGTATACATTTAATGGCTTTAAAAGTTTGAAGAGCCTTGATCTTCAGCATATAACCATGGACCAAGGTGCATTTGAGGATATGGTATCCAACTGTCCTTTACTTGAGCGGCTGACATTGATGAACTTTGATGGTTTTACTCATCTTAAAATCCATGCTCCAAATCTCGTCTTCTTTGACGTTGGAGGAGTTTTTGAAGAAGTGGATTTTCATGATACCATCAATCTGGCTATTGTCTCTATTGGCTTGTATTCGAACACTGGAAGTGACCGGAATATGGCTTTCGGATGCACTGGTAATCTGATCAAGTTTTTTGCTAATCTACCTCGTATTCAAAGGCTTGAGGTGCAGAATTTTTTCTTGAAGGTAAACTATCCATCGTCAATTATCCTGGAAATTCAGAAATTTCAGGGACTGATGAGCATGTTGCTCAGTTAGTAAGTGATTATAACATTGAATTGCATAATTACTTGGCTTGTTATGAACATCTGAGGTTTTTATTTGTTCTCTCTACATTATTCCTCCAAGTGGATAGAGAGCCTGAACCATTGACTAATTGAGTACTTATTCGGTTTGTTTGACTTCTGTGTAGTATTTGGCTGCTGGCGGTGTACCAGTAAAGCTGCCTACACCTTGTATCGTTCTTACTTTTCTTTCGATACGAGTTAATTTTAACGACATGGAGGAGGATCTGGCTGCTCTCTGTCTTCTTCGCAGTTGTCCTAACCTTCAAGAGCTCGAGTTGTTTGTAAGTTCTTGCATCCTCTGTACTGTTGCTACATGTCCATGTTTTTCTTTAATGGAATGCTTCTAGCCATTCATTTTTTTTTTT